CGTGGGTTGTGTGAATGTGGTGTGCGCGCCGTGTGTGCGTGGGTGTGTGTGGTTTTGTCGTGCGCGCGCGAGTGTGTGGTGTGTGTGAGAGGTGTTTGTGTGCGTGACTATGTGTGTGTGTGCGCGTATGTGTGTGGTTGAGCGGTGGTGTCTGTGAGTGTGTGTGAGTGTGTTTGTGTGTGTGTGTCTGTGAGTGTGTGTGTGCATGTGTGTGCGGCGGTGTGTTGCGCGTGCAGTGGTTTGTGCTTTGTGTGTGTGTGCGTGTGTTTGTGTGCGTGGTGCGTGTGTGGTGCGTGTTGTGCGTGTGTGTGCGCGGTGTGGTACGATTTGTGAAGTGCGCGTGTGTGGTGCGTGTTGTACATGTGTGTGTGTGCGTGCGAGTGTTTGTATGCGTGGTGCGTGTGTGTGACGTGTTTTCGCTGTGTGTGTGCGTGGGTGTGTGTGCGTGTGTGTGTGTGTGCGTGTGTGTGTGCGCGCGTGTGTTTGTGCGTGTGTGTGTCTGTGCATGTGTGCGTGTGTGTGCGCCCGCGTGTGTGTGTGCGTGTGTGCGCGCACGTGTGTGCGTGTTTGCGTGTGTGGTTGCACGTGTTGTGCGCGTGTGTGTGTGCACGTGTGTGTGCGTGTGAGTGCGCGCGTGCGTGTGTGTGTGCGTGTGTGTGCGCGTGTGCGTGCGTGTGTGCGTCGTGTGTGTGTGTGCGTGTGTGTGTGGGCGCACGTGTGTGTGCGTGTGTGTGCGTGTGTGTGTGTGTGTGTGCGCGTGTGTGTGCGCGCGCGTGTGTGTGCGTGTGCGTGTGTGCGCGCGCGTGTGTGTGTGCGTGTGTGTGTGTGCGTGTGCGTGCGTGTGTGCGTGCGTGTGTGTCTGTGCGTGTGTATGCTTGTGTGTGTGTGCGTGTGTGTGCGTGTGCGTGTGTGGTTGTGCGTATTGTGCGCGTGTGTGTGCGCGCGTGTGTGCGTGTGTACATGTGTGTGTGTGCGTGCGAGTGTGTATGCGTGGTGCGTGTGTGTGCATGTGTTCGCCTGTGTGTGCGTGTGTGTGTGTGCGTGTCGTGCGTGTGTGTGCGCGTGGCGTGTGTGTGCGTGTGTGAGTGCGCGCGTGTGTGCGTGGTGTACATGTGCGTGTGTGAGTGCGCGCGTGTGTGCGTGTGTACATGTGTGTGTGTGCGTGCGAGTGTGTATGCGTGGTGCGTGTGTGTGCGTGTGTTCGCCTGTGTGTGTGCGTGTGTGTGTCGGTGCGTGTGTGTGCGCGTGTGTGTGCATGTGTGTGCGTGTGTGTGTGTGTGTGTGTGTGCGTGTGTGTGCGTGTGTGCGCGCACGTGTGTGCGTGTTTGCGTGTGTGGTTGCGCGTGTTGTGCGTGTGTGTGTGCCTGTGTGTGTGCGTGTGTGTGTGCGTGTGTGTGTGCGTGTGTGTGTGCGTGTGTGTGCGCGCGTGTCTGCGTGCGTGTGTTTGTATGTACGTGTGTGTGTGTGCGTGTGTGTGCGTGTGTGTGTGCGTGTGTGTGTGTCTGTGCGTGTGTGTGTGCGCGCGTGTGTGTGTGCGTGTGTGTGTGCGCCGCGTGTGCGTGTGTGTGTGTTTGTGTACGTGCGTGTGTGTGTCTGTGCGTGTGTGTGCGTGTGTGTGCATGTATGTGCGTGTGCTGTGTGCGTGTGTGTGTGCGTGTGTGTGTGCGTGTGTGTGCATGTGTGTGTGCATGTGTGTGTGTGCATGTGTGTGTGCGCGTGTCTGTGTGTGCGCGTGTGTGCGTGTGTGTGTGTGCGCGTGTTTTGCGTGTGTGCGCGTGTCTGTGGGCGCGTGTGTTTGTGTGTGTGCTTGAGTGTGTGTCTGTGTGCTGTGAGTGTTCGCGTGTGTGTGTGCGCGCGTGTGTGTGCGTGTGCGTGCGTGTGTTTGTGTGCGGGTGTTTAACGTGCGAATATTCAGTAGAAATGTTAATCCTTGCTTTGAATATACATTAGCACACGCATGAAAAGTCCCACTAGAATATGCTTGAACGCGGCTGTTCAGGCCTGGTTACTGTTGCTGGCTTTTACCATTAAAACGAATAGTAAAATTATCTAGTAAAAATTATCGATGGGAATGACTCTGGCGAGATCTGTTTCGGCGGGTGCAATTATCACTACCACTGTATCATTAACCCCATCGCCGAGCCAGCTTAAACAATGGCAGCATATCCACGGAGTGTATGATGGAGAGTGGGGCGAAGAATTCGTCCGTCCATTCGTTCTCGCTTCCGTCCGTCCATGCGTCCGTCAGTGTGACCGTCCATGCGTCCATCAGCCCGTCCGTGCGTGCGTCTGTTCGTACGTCCATCCCTGCGTTCGTCCATGCAGCCGCCCCTGCGTCCGTTCATGCGTCCATCCATGCATCTGTCTATGTGTCCGTTCGTCCATCTATTCAACACTCCAAGTACCATTATCTCGCATCTTTTCATCATATATTCCTCATATAGATGCACCGCCATCCAGCGGACATTCCAAGGACTAAACGAGAGGTGGCACACGCACACTTTCTTACGGCTTGCGCTTCGGGTCCACTTCCCACCTTTACCCACCTCGAGTTCATGGTATATACTAGTTCACTGTATTCGTGGCACTGTGCCCGAACGCTCGCTAAACCTTTCGAAAACCAAGGAGGTTACGCCCAGCGAGTATGACGTAGCAAACTTTTTCAGTCAGATTGTGCTCAATGTACATGCCAATGGCTGCTAATGGTGATCGCAGCCTGCGCGCTAACTAAAAGCCGAATGCTCCTGTCTCTCGTTCCCCATTAGCAGCCATTGGCATGTACATTGAGCACTATTTTTTATTGTTCAACAACGCACAGAAGAAGTCTCTCACCGGAACCACCTTGGAGGTCAAAATGTTATACTTGTTACATACTACGGGGGATGAACGGGTGTCGCTATAGGGAGCTTTGCCCCTAAAAACTCGCGGCCGAGATTACTGCCTGAAATCGCACAGAGTGCCAAAGCCTTGACCAACACTGGGGCATGTGTTTATTTCGATAGCAATTACATGAACACACTCTCGGCTTGATTTAGCCACCGGCATCGGTGTCGACGTCGGCACCCAAACGGCAAGCTATTTATATCTACCACCTACCACTGTTGGCGCGCATTTCGGGGAACAATCGTATCTTAAGCAAGATGGCGCAAGGAGCGCGTGGAGGCTCTAATCTCTCACGCGTACTTTGGCCCGAGGAAAAGAAGGGAGTTGACAATCTCTCGCGCGCCCTTATCTCCCGGTAGGGAGGATCATAAGCCTTGGCTGGCGTTCGGCTAGCACTTGAACGATTCTGTTGTAGTTCCGGGGCGCACGAAGGTCAGTGCAATCGTTGCACAGACTCCGTTTTCCAAAAGGACGTGATTTTGAGGCACAGAAAAGTAACAACTGAGACGCTTATTCACGTTCATCTGTACCTGTGAGTATGTTGCATGGATCATTTGTGCGTGAGAAATGCGGGACACGTTACGATCTGCTTGCCATTCTGCGCGTGACCTTCCAGTTTGTTGCTATCGCATTCATTGCTTCGCTTTTGCGGCAGATCTGGCCCATTTTCTTGTATGGATACATTATTCACTGTAAAAAAACGTCCAGGAATGATATGGCGATAGTAGTACCACTTAGTTTCTAAATCATGTCAGCGTGGAGCTTCGAAAACAGGTGGTTAAGGGGGCAGAGGGTCGCGCGAACAATTTCGGAGAGGGGGGTGAGCTCCTCTAACCTGCCCTCCTTGGCAATGCCACTGCTGAAAAAGTTTGTGGAGCACCACATTGAAGCGCACAAATTCGCCGCCGAGTACGTGCAGCAGGTGTTCCACAACTATGAAGGCGAGTACCTATGCTGGTTTTACTATAAAGTTGGAAAAAGCAATGACAGTGTATTTTTATCGTGTTTTGTGGTGCACCTGTTACAGCACATGGTCGTTTTCGCGTACAGACGTCTGCAAGCTTCACATGAATGCCCCTCAGCACGCCCTGAAACGATGCGATTGCCACCAGCGCTGCCTAATTCTGGATTCTATTGCTGAGATGTTAGCCATACATGTCGATTCATCACCTCCTAGCTACGCCATGGCACTGAATGGCAATGAAAGCCCACCTGAAACATCAACTGAAACGAGCTAGGCATTGCACGTTGTGCTAAGCGTTAAAAATTTAAAAAAACGCATAACAATTAAGTTGTGCCACTATATGTCATTGATTGACCTCTCGGCCACCTCACTTGTCTCGCTCTGCAGTTGTTGTTGTTGTTTTGCTTTGCTATGTTTGATTTTATTGAGGTACGGACTGCTTAATTCTTGCTGTATGTGTCCAATAAGATACTCGAAATTATTTTCATTTTTTGAACAGGGAACACACATGATGGACTTACCCTGCCTTTCACCTTTATTTTAGTTCGGCTTATCACGTTTAGGTTGCGGTATGAGTTTTCATTTCGCAAGCGCATACGGCATCATTAAAAAATAGGCATGCGTAACGAAAGATACGAGAGGTAAACCACCGAGAAAGAAACTAAGGAGTTTCTATCTACGTGATTATGATAAGGAAAAGAAAAGTGCCGTCCATAACTGTCCGTCATTTCGATGACCAACAAGTGACGGCAACAGCAGTTTTGCGTGAGACAGCAGAAACAGATTAGTTTATCCCTTTACTGCACGATTTTTTCTTTTGCCGTGAAATTATTTATGGTGTTGAGCAGAACCATAACGATAACTCTACTAACAAAAAAAATAACCGTACTGAACTTTTACAGTTTTAGTTGCAGAAAAAGGGTACGTTGCATTTTCGCAACAGTGCGCGCACACAGAAAAAAAATCGAGAAGAAACAGACCTTTTGTCATTTCAACTGTAATGTTTATTTACAAGACAGTCAGCGAGGGGGTACAAATGCTACAATAGATAGCTATCTCACTTGATTCCTAGGAAAGGTTTGTTTTATACTAACCTTTACTGATTACTGCTATGCCACTAGAAGTAATCGGTAAGTAAACAACAATGGTGCACTCATTTTGTTGTGTGGTACAAAAAAAGCAATTGCTCTTGTTTGTCGAACAGAGGTGCACTTCACACTTTACGCAGTAGCTCATGCAGATTCCCGTGCAGCCTGGAAACTTGCAGCGCTGCCGCTTCTGGCTCCAAAGGACCCAGTGACCAACCTGAGGAAAGAAATGACAATTGTGAGTCCTAAGACAAAGCTCCATAGATGAGAAATAATACCTGATCTAGCCGGACATCTTCAGTTAAAGCTGGAGCTGTTGGTCCCCTTTTTCTCTTCTCCTGAGAGGCTTGTTCTATTGACTCGTTGCTAGGCCTTCCTCGCTTCTTCACCACAGTCTTCCCAGCCTTGCAGAGTGATGCAGCCAGGTCCATCTTGAAGTCGACCAAAGGAAGAAGCCTTTCTGCGTACTCATCTCGTTTGCTCAAGGCATTCCTCTTGTAGAGCAACCAAGCATTTACGCGTCTTTGCGCCGAGCTCTCCTGTCCGGTATATACCCCCAATTTGTAGGAGAAGCCGCTTACACCGGAGAGCACGAAAACTTTGTAACCCCATTTCTTGGGTTTCTGGGGACAGTACTGCTTGAGGGAGCTTTTACCTTTGAAGGGTATAATCTGTTCATCGATAGATAGATGCTCTTCAAGAGGCACAAGTGACAACTGTTCATTGATGGTATCAATCACAGGCCGCACCTTCGCAAGCCGATCTCTTCCTGGAGCGTCCTTTGGGCCGAGAGTACTATTGTCTACGAAGTGGATGTTATGCTTCAGTTTTTCGAAGCGACCCACAGGAAATTTGTCAGCAACTTGGCTAACCCTGGTCACTGCGCTCCAGTACCACCTTGTGTTCCTCATTTGAATGATCGACATCCACATGCACGTTCCGATAAACACTTCGATCTCTTCTGCAGTAGTACAAAGGGGCTGACTCACGTATTTCTGCAGAGCAAAGAAATTGCTCTGATCTGCAATTAGTGAAATCAGCGAGCCAGGGAAGAGAAACTTGAAGTATTGGAATGGTGTCTCTAGTTCTGCAATGAACTCAGGGAGTTCACTTTGCCCGGAGAACTGAACTGTCTGTGGATCTCTCATTAGATTCGCCTTCTTCCAAATCATGCGTCTTTTAGCTTGTGTGGGGTGGTGGTCAGATGTTCCCCCATTTGGTGTAGCTTCGTCCTCGTCGGAGCACGGAGCATGCACTCGACTCGTTTGTGCTGTCACATAGGCTTCCGCAGTCAGGTGCGATATCTGTAGTGGAAACAGACAGCGATATGCAGGACCTAAAATTAGTGGTAAAATAAAGTGAAATGCACGTATATAAAACAGTGTGCATCTGTATTTTTAAACCCGACAAAACCCCTAGGCGTGGTGTCTTCGCGTTATAGACAAAAATTTAAAACGCAGGAGCACAGACATATGGGTGCAGCCATAACGATGCGGGGCAGCCGCGGGCGTATGCACACACAATTAAAAAAAAAATTCCCGAATTCTACCATGCAACACACTGCACACACGATGAATCGAAAACACTTACACTCTGGATCGTCGTCACTACCAGAAAGTTGGCTGTCTTCACCATCAGAAGGGATTGCTCGGCCATAAAAACGTTTAGGATCCATTTCTAGTTTGAGAGAAAAAAAACAAACATGATGAGCACGTTGTTGCATATATGCAACATAGCAACTTTTTGTCGCAAGAAACACACCATTCCGTAAACATAACGTTTTTTGCAATCTACACAATTAGGAGGATGTGCCAAAGAGCTTAACAGCTCTTTCCGCGGTTGAATCCGTCCAGACAAACATTTATAACCTGCAAATCTTACCTGCGTAGCTCCGTGCTGGCGCGGGCAGCGTCTACCAACGTTACTAGATTCTTTCTAGTAACGTTGAAGTATCTAGTAACGTTGGCGTCTACCATGTTTGTTTGGCAATAGTTGAGCAGGATGAGCGCAGGGGGCAGCACAAGACGGCGCGTTTTTCAAACTGGTGTTGCAGAAATGCAACAGCATGCATAGAAGGGACCAAATGAAAGTAGCTTTCGTTTTTATGACTGTTTATTGGTATGTTGCGTAAATGCAACAAGGTGCAGTAAAGGGTTATATACTGTTAGTCGCAGTTGGAAGCCGACTAACAAGTGAAGAGGTGGGCGGCCAATGCGTAAATACCACTACTAATTGGTACACAATGTCACCATTTCTACTAAGAAATACCACGGAACTTTGACCTGGAAAGGCACGTGAACGCCAAGGCGCAATTGCAAACGGCTGCGCCAGCCCATCCGTAGGCGGAAGGGGCGCCTGCTCAAGGAACTCCAATAGCGTACAGCGCCACCATCATATGCATCACCGAGCGGTAGAGGTGTGCGCCGAGGCGGTTTCGAGCGGTGGTGGCGTGGACTTCTCGAATTAGTCCCGTGCTCTCGTTCCAGTAGCAGCCTGTACGTGCTTAACGTTTACAGTGCACCTAACGCCAGGAACGATGACTTCAGGTCGTTCCGAGTCTGCGGCGGCGGCGTCGTCTGGGCGAAATGATCGGCGGCGGCTCACGGCCACTTTTCGTTGGCGGCGGCGGCGCCAGCGGCGTGGAAACCGAAACTACAGTTAGAAAAATCTACTGCGTTTTTTCTGCTTATTTAGCTGAAAGTCACTACTTTTAACAGTAATGTCTGAGAGAACAGCTTGAAGATGCAAGAGAACTGGCAAACGTTCCATATATGTTTTGTTTTTGAGCATATATATTGAATATGTTCTTTCAGTGCGCCCTGTTTGTTCACATAGCTTACAATGTATCACAAGAAATTTCATTTCTTTTTACTCTCACAGCGATGCTGTTATACCGGCTAGGGAGTTTCCCTTATTAACTTACACTTTATATTGTTGTTGCTTCGAAGTGACTGTTAATCTTTTATTTATTATCAAATGTACCACTTGCCTCTGTAATGCCTTCTGGCTTTGAGGCTACTAATAAATAAGTGGATAATGATTGAGCCTCTTTTCAACGGGTAAACAGGGGCAAGTGGAGTTCGCAGTCTTCGTATGTAATGTACTGTCTTTTTTTTTGTTGTAACAGACAGGTGGAAAATTCATGTAGGTCACAGTGGCATATTCACGAAACACATGAGAAAGGCGCTAATTCGTCTCCCATGGGGGACACTGCTCAGCGACTTATGATGCAAGTGCTACAACGCAACGAATACAAATAGAGCGAAATGAATATAGCACTACATGTGCTATTTTATTTGTTTCCATTTTCAAAGACTCCATTCTTGTGAGACGCAAGAAGATGCAGGTCGGGGGTGGAATGGAGGGCGATGCTTGAGTCTCGTTTAGTTGTGAGACCCCTCTTCATCTATACCAGCCCATACTCCCTCCCCCTTTAATTCTCCTAAAACAAGCACTGACACAAAATTTTGAAAGCGAGATAACCTGTCAAATAGATTTCACTAGATACACACATCTACGAAATGTAATCAAATATTTTCACCCAGAACGTATTCAAAATTATTTTGAATCACGTGTTGCCCAACGGCATACTAATTATGCCTTCGTCATTCCGGGAAACAAACAACTGCCTCCCGCGCTACGAGTTTTGTGTTGGCTGGTTCCATTTCAAAGAAAAGAGGGGCAGTGATGTTCGAGCTTCAGCGGCGTTTTTTGAACAGGTCACGCATATTTACAACGCCAGAGAGGAGATCACAGGAGCGCCCACAAAACCTTCGTTGAAAAGACTTGTCGACGTGTTAATTCACGTGCACGCGGTTTCGCACGTCCACCTAGCCAGTTAGCTTTGCACGAAAACCCAGTATTCCTTTCCTCTACGCGAAAATCTCTCTGGGTCCCGCCTCACTCGGCGCTCTGTGGAACCAAGACTTCAACAATTAACATTGCACGCTCGAGCAAACGAGCTTTCCAGCCATGTGTTGCCAAAAAAAAAAAAAGCGACATTTTTTGCGTAAGTGCCTTTTGCTCATAGAGTCCAAAAATAGGGGCTATTTATGACGCGTACCAGTCTTATCTCCTATCACAGTGTGTTGGGGACGGAGGGCGGGGGATGGTCTTAAATTAAATGACCCTCCTAAAAGAAAATAAAAAAGTGTGACAACACCACGCCGCAACAACGCCACGTGTCGATCCCCTACGTCGTGGGCGCCGGAGAACTTCCCACAAGTTGACGTTCCCACAAGCTTTCCACCACCATCGGCAGTTTCATCCGCACGTGGAAAGACCTGCGGGAAAAGCGCTAGGCGTCGTGTGCAGGATCGCGTGTGTCAAGCGATCCTGCACATGACGCAGAACTTCCGTAAACGTTTGAATGAATGTGTGTGGTTGAAGCCCTTGCGGGAGCACAGCTCAGTGCGGGGGGGGGGGGGGGGGGGGAGTGGGAAAAAAAAGATTTAAAGTAGGTAGAAGGACAATTAAGGTTCGGAAGAATCTGACGGACATTGCTGGTAGAGAAAAAGCGTATAGGGGCCGACGGCAGGGCACGGCAGGGCAACCCGAGTCGTAAGACTTGGAAGTGTGGGGCTGCAGGAGACATCAAGTAGTCCTACAGCTTCAAACATGTGGCAGCACAGGAATGACTTCGGTCAAACGAACAGTGGACCGAGCGCAGAGGCAGAACTTGTAAGCGGGTTGGCCACCATACCAGTGCCAATAACGCGGTGATCTAAACGGAAAGAAAATTCGCCCGCGGCTCCCCTTTGAATCCTGGCACAGTCAACAGATAGTGGGAGACAACAACCCCACCACTGGGGACACTGCCCTCCCTCTACTTCCAGGGCTTGCAACAAGTCGTGGCAAACATCTCGGGCCTTCTCACCCCTGATGAGAAAAGCCGAACAGGCTTAAAAACATCGGGTTTCTTGATATAAATATTGGCGGGAGTTTTCTGCTTTTTTTATATATTTCTGTAATCCCAACCAATTAGAGGCTTCTGCCGAATGCTCACCTTCGAACACCTTAAACCCGGAGAGTACAACTCGTTGCTGCGTTTTGTAGCCTGTCTGCATTCCTTGCAGCGTACAAAGCACGCAAAAGCTCAGGTATGAGTAAATTGAGTCTTGGAAAAGCCAGTGTCCTCAATTTTTTCGCAGAATGGACCGGGCGAACACAGTGGCAGGTGAGCAACCGCTGAAATGGCTTCCGCGTGTCAAACCTGACTGTGAATGGAAAGAAGTTTGACGAAGAAAAATATATACGAAAGAAAAAAAAAACGGCACTGCTATAGTGTGTTGATACGGAGTCCTGAACTTCAGGCGTGCTGGCAAAATGTTTGCAAGCTCCTCAATTTCTCAGGGGGTCACAAAGATATTTGACAGCATTACAGTTTGAAGGAATTTGTTTTCTCCAGTGACTAAGCGACGCACACGACAGGAGCGGTGTGTTAATTCCTGCCCCCTTCCTCCTTGGAATCCACTCGAAAAGCTTTCAACGTACCACATGGCAAGAAATGATACAAAAGCTGACAGCATATGTTGTCACTACATTTAAAAAACTGGATATTCGTCGAGATGTAAACTTTTTTAGTGCAAAACAATACATTGAAAGGGAATTCACAAACACCCGTCCCGTCTCTATCGTTCTTGTGGATATTTTGTTTTGCACTCCGTAATTTTCCAATCGCCATACTTATTAATACAAAAACGGAAGCGGCGTCTGAGGACAAGCAGTTCAATGCAGGAGAGAGCATAGAGGCGCTCGATGCTCGCTAATCGTGCTGCTCTGTCGCCTTGGAAGCCGCATGATTTATGAAGGTGGAATACATTGCTCATTCTCCTTTGGTTTGGGGCCATAATTGTAGATCAAACTCAATGTAAATCGCGATGTTGCATAATGAAATTACCAGGAGTTGCACATTAGCCCAAACATGCCGCTCAACCCACTTTTATACCCTCTTAAAGCCATGTTCATTTATTCAAAACATTTGTGAATTGTGAACACTAGATACTCAATAACGAAACTTAGAAGTGTGGCAGCTTGGGCTAGTTGGTATGGCATGACGACAGTTATAGCGCGAGAACAATACGACGACACAGAGACAAGAAACGCGTGTCTTTCGTGTCCTTCTTGTCTATGTGTCGTCGTATTGTTATCGCGCTATAACTATCGTCAATAATCAAGTTACGGATAATTATTCAGTCTTTCCTCTCGTTATTATCGCAATCTGATAAGCGTTCTTCTCTGAGAAAAGATCATACGAGTTTCGTAGCATGCATGAGCATAAATTGCTCATTATACTTTGTCATAGTCTGTGAACGGTGTACTCTATAAACGCATTGCCTATTAGCAATAAAGTTGAAGCCAGCGCAATGGGTAAATTAAGTATTACAACACCAAAAATTATGAGTTTTTTAGAAGATACTCCTAACGTCTTGTTGGAAATTCTAACCTCAAATTGTGAAATCACGCCGGCGCGAATGGCAATGGCTCCGTAACACCGCAAACAACTTTAAAAATATAGCTGTGCACCTGGGAAATAGGCAATATACGTTAGCTTTCTAGTCATGTTAGCATTTTATAATGTTGAAATCTCATCTCAGTGGTGCATTTTATGTCGCCATTTCATTTCGTGCCTTTAAGTTGAGGTTGTCATATTTATTCGAAGATATGAGCAAGTGGCTTCTATCAAGGACCTTCACTCGAACGAGTTCCAAGGGTGTGGGGAATCGGACAGACTTACAATTTGGAAATTAATTCTGTGGTTTTACTAGCCAGCACATACACAATTACAAAGCACGCCATAAAATGATACTATGAATATTTGTAACCATAGATCAGCAAAATAAAGAGACGCCCTCATTAAATAAGTTTTTTTTTCTTCGCATAGGACTCACAAGGACCCAGATTAACCAAAATTTCGCTGAATCGAACTAGGAACTCGCTCGAACTCAGGCTCACCGTGATAAAACTCAGCCGGGCTCACTCGGACTGAGGCTTACCTAAGTATAACTTAGCCGGAGTCACTCATACTCTGACTCACGCCTCAATAAGATGTCTTTCAATGCCTCTGATGGACTCATTAGTGAGTTTGCCGGCTTATAATGGGAACACATCTCTCGTTCACGTCAGGCGTTGATGAAGACCTTTTGTGTGCGTTCACGATGGTGAAATATGGGAGAATGAGAAAGGGTGGAAGGGTTGTTGCTATGCCCACATGACGATAATAGGGATGGTATTTAGCGATCTACGCAAGGATAAATCAACGAAAAACATGTATGCAGCATAGGAACCAGAAAAGACAAGTGCTCAACTTAAAACTAAATGTTAATAAAGAAAGCGCCTACAAAAAGTAACCTCAAGCACACGCTTAAAAAGGCTATTTAAACCACAATTGCACGGTTAACCGTACATTCCCCCCCTTTCCCCCCCCCCCCAAAAAAAAAAAAAATCTGTCTCAAGGTGTGGTATGAAGCAGCTGAAATCCATGGAACACCAAAATATCAACACCAAGTTTATCTGTGAGGAAAATAGGGGATCAATCAAACATGACACTTCGCTCTGTTTTTATTTTGAGGGCTTCACGAGTTTCGGGTTCAATCTTATAATTTTTTCTTTGCCTATGACATTCAATAATTTCAAAGATATCTCGTTCCTTTGTCATGCGGCCGTGTCTACAGAGATCAGAAAGGTCGAGGCCTAGTGTGAAGATCCTTCAGCCACAAAACTGACCTCTTCGCTAGTCTCTGCGTCCCCAATATATCAGTGTCATTGGCAAAGGAAGAAATAGATTAAACGTGAAGATTTTGAAACCTTAAAAAACAAAAAAGATCGATTTGCAACGCATATGTAAGTGATCCTTCAGTTGTCTTTACAGCTAGATAAGGGATTCGCATTGCTAGATAGCGGGGGCACGTGGCGTTGATCAAGAAAGTGTGCTGTTTGTACCATTTTGGCACGCTTCTTGCCTTTGTAGTGTTATGTGTGCAGCGTGGAACGCCTCAGTCTTTTTTTCATGAATGCGCTTCAGGTACATGGGTTTGTGGACTTTCCGCCATAAACATTTCGCTTGATGCCCTGTCAGGTTGAGCTCCTTAGTTTGCTCACCTAAATATATTAAAAACCAACTCGCCGAGCAAGCTACGTATGTGATGTCCTTTTAGGGGCAAAGCTCCTTAAAGCGGCACCGGTTCGTCCCTCGTAGTCGTAGTCGAAGTGTGTAACAAGTGTTACATTTTGACCTGCAGGGTGGTGCCGTTGGGAGATTTCTCTTGTGCTTTGTTGAACAATAAAAAGTTCGCGGCGTGCGCGTTACCTAAAAGCCGAATGCTCCTGTCTCTCATTCCCCCTTAGCAGCCATTGGCTTGTACATTGAGCACTATCTGACAGGAAAATCTTGCTACGTCATACTCGCTGGGCCCTCCTTGGTTTTAGAAAGGTTTAGCGAGCGTTGGGCCGCAGTGCCATGAATACGGTGAACTAGTATATACCATGAACTCGACGGTGGTTAAAGGTGGGAAGTAGACCCGAAGCGCAAGATGTAAGAAAGTATGCGTGTGCCACCTCTCGTTTAGTCCTTGGAATATCCGCTGGATGGCAATGCATCTATATGGGGAATATAGGATGAAAAGATGCGAAATGGTGGTACTTGGAGTGTTGAATAGATGGACGAACGGACACACAAACAGATGCGTGGATGGACGCATGAACGGACACAGGGGCGGATGCATGGACGAACGCATGGACGGTCACACAGACGGACGCATGGACGGATGGAAGTAAGAACGAATGTACAGACGAATGCTACGCCCCACTCTCCATCATTCACGCCGTGGATATGCTGCCAATTTTTTTTTTTGAAACAAGGCTGTGCTGAATTAAGTTCGAGATAAAAACTGGTGAAGGAAACGCAGATTACTTGATTTGATAGCACGGCGTGGAGCACCGCACGATGTACAGGACAAAGCACGTTGAAAATACAAGCCCACGCTTCAGTGTTTTGTCCGCATTCATCTTTTGTGGGTTACTTCGCAGTTTACACAAACTTGATTTATGATGATCACCATTTCATTGAATATTGTTAATCTTGCTCAACCTGCCGAAACAGTGGGAATCGTTTCTGTTTGATAGAGCATTTCGTATGACAATTTTCATTTACCCTTATTTGTTCATTAAAGGTCATGCATGTGAGCAGTTTCTTAACTGATTTTTTTTCCTCAGTTATAACAACATCTTCAATGCACATCGCGCTTCTACCTTGCCCGTCCGCAGTTCTGGTCCCCACCCTTCGCATTTGAACTGCCCTTGTTCTTCGAATCGCTTGGACAGTCATAATTACGAATATTCCAGTACCGACATTCCACATCCTTCATCATTGTTCGAAGCACACCTCACATAATACCTATTCTCGTCATCTAGAATATGTTGACAGTCATCGCCAACCGTTGGCGCTGTCACTGAACGGGATTCGCTGAATATAGTGAACTCAAAGGTATCTTAAAATTCGCGTTTAAATATAATCCAACATCGTTGGGAGCACTCGACAAGTGTTTTTTTTTTTTTATAGTCCACTTATTTGACCTGAAATTACCGGTGAACCAGTTTTGATAAATTTGCGAAGTGGACAGAATTATGGCCAGACTGGTGACAGGTGTAAAATAAATGTAGGAAAGCGGAAAAAAAAAAAACTTATTTAAATGGCGCGCCAACAAAACGCGTTGGTGGTGGCGGTGGCGGTGCACCGACCCCTCGGCGCACACCTCGACCGAGCGGTGACGGCAAAGAGTGCAGACGTCAGGCTAGCTAGTATATTCAAGGGACCATATTATAATACTCTAAAACTTTATGGGCCTATGTAAATGTCTTCTTATAACTTTTATGTGTTGCTCTATACCATGGCATCAGACCATCTCTAAGGCTGCGCTGGCCGCGCTTCTTGTGAAATAGTTTCATATACACATGGCAGATGGCGCGAGCATAGAAAACAGCATCATAAGTAAAAACAAAAAAAGTTGGCCCGTTTTGCGTGTTTTTTGTTTGGCTCTTCGGGTTCCCGCGACGATGCAGCTCTCCCGAGGAGCGGTCGCCGGCATCTGAGTGCGTGCAGTTTCTGAAGGTGTCCAGCCCCTGGTGCCGTAATTTAGGTGGGAACCCCTTGTCTGGCGTGGAAGGAGCAAGTACTTACACGGGACGTACACATCTGAGGCCTGCGTGCCGTGGCGGGATCGCATTTTGAATCTGCCCGAACGGCCCAGGGGAAGCGACGGCGATGCTCCCGTGAAAAAAGCAGCTCTGCCGCCTTCATAGCGCAGGATTACGATCGTGTGTTGTGGATTTGCGACGACGACCTAGCGGTGAGTGTTTTGCCGGTCTAGGCCTATTGTTAGCTCGGGGAAAATGAAGCGCATCTTTGGCGCGCTGTTTTGCGGGGCCGCTAAGCGATGCCCCCCTTTTTTTTGCGTTTTTTTTTTGTCGGCCGTGCTGTACCGCTCCGTTTTCCCCGCGTGTTGTTGTGGTTGTGACCTGCGAAACGGGTCCATCCGTTCCTGTTTCCACATGTGCGCCTGTTGTTGCGAATCGCGCGACGACCTATTAATCCGTGTGGTGATCCACGGATTTGTTCTCGGAGACTTTCACGGCTGGCTGTTTATCGCGGCTGCAATTCCTCTACGTAAATCTGCTGTAGCTCTCTCGGTTTTTCTTTTCCCACATCAAAGTGGCACCTAGTTACGCATCCATTCGACCGCCAGAAAATAGTACTGCGCTTTGCTTTGTCGCCCAAGACAAGGCGGGTGGAGTGACACTTGCACCAATTTCCACGCCGATGCCGGTTTTGTGTATGTTGCGGAGCCACCTTCCGCTTGTTGCCGGCTGTGGGCTCACGTTCTAACTTTAGCATTACAAATAATGCTACTTTCATTGTTTTATGAACCCTCTTCGTTGAGATATCATGTGTGACCTTTGATTGTTGGTAGGGTAAAAGACTGAAGCTGTCCAATTTCTAAGTACGAATATTTAAACGTCAACCAATGTTCCTGTAGCTGTCATAAACACGCGCACACAATTTTCTTAACTGTGCGCGCATATTTTTGTGACGTTCAAGCTATGCTGCTGTGAAAAATCCAGATGCTGCTTATGATCAGTCGCCAAATTCATTTTCAGTTTACACGCATTTACAAACGTCTTCATGAAACAAACAAAGACAATATTGTTTAAGATAGCACGTTTACTCCTGAAAAATCGCCAGGCTTGCGCGGAACGCGCAGCACAGTTACAGCAAAGCAGCCTTTCAGAGCTATTTCTAAACACTATTCGGGTAAATGCTAGAAGCACACATGCAAGGTACCCACTACACCATAAATAATCATAATTTATATGTAGCAGGCTGGCATTCACTATGCTAGCCTTCATCAGTCTTAGGAGAAGGTTGGTTTCTGCTAAACACTTGCACTGGATTTCTTGCAAATTTTGTGTTGCATTCAGTGGCTGATGATGAAGAATTACGCCTGAAGTGGGTATGTGCCACAGCAGATAGGTGATGAGCAAGCTTTTTTTATGGGCCGGAGCATCAAACAGACCACCCACTCGTTACGCGATTCGCATTGTGTGACGCCTAGTTGTTCCTTTGCTGTTGAAGTGTTCTTAAACGATTTATTACTCATATTAACCTGATTTCTTTCCTGATATCAAGTCTGCCCAAGAAAAGTTTGTGAACGAGTCTCAAGCCCCTAACAACTCTGCTTTTTGCTATTTTTGTTTAACCTTTCTGTTTAAGCACAAATAATAATAGTGGGATAGCAGCTTTAAATTACACAAGGCTGAGTTTAGCCTCCTTGCTTATGCAGATGACATTGCAGTTTTCTGTAAAAATTATGAAAGTATAATGCATTCCGTGAATGCACTGAGATGTTTTTGCCAGGTAAGCGGTAGTGCCGTCAACTGGGATAAGTGCCTTGGTTTCTGGCATGGGGAAGGGGACGTCACAAGAGTATTTCTAAACATTAAATGGCAGGAAACACCAGCGAAGTATTTAGGGGTACCGCTGGAGTTCTATCCTGAGAGTGAACCGTATTGGAAAAAAAGAAATACAGGCATTGCAAAATAATGTAGAAAAGTTGGGGTATTTCGATATTCACATGGGCCACAACGTGCAACTTATTTTTAGTGAGCAAGCTGTGGTACGTAATGCAAGTTTTGCACTGCAGTAGAATAAATATATGGACCATACACCGAGTATTTTCAGTTTTCATTTGGAGCTGTGTGTGGGAAAAATCGACCTGCCCTAACCTCTTCAGAAAAGCTCGAGACAGCAGGCTTGGATTGGCTCGTTCGCACATAAAACAACTTGTCAATGGTTTCCTTGTTCTGTGTGATGTCGATGACCATCTTTTGTAAACTGTTATTCAACTAAGGTTGTCTAGAGTGCTGCTGGGATTTCTCGTGTCGTCAGCAAACGTGCAAGGTCTAATACAGGGGTATCTAAAAGAAGTTGTTTTGTCCTTCCACCTTCTAGTGATGAGATTTTTGTTAGAGTATCTGACTGGAAAATTGTGTAAAAAATTGTATAAAGGTCTTGTCAATCTTTTACTGCCTGTACAATTGCACCGTCACCTATATTGTGCAGGCACAGGACAGGATGTTCCTAAACGTGTTAAAAAGAATGCCTTTAGCCCCAGGAGTCAGAACTTTTTTCTTTGAATAACACACTGGTACCTTACCCGTTAAAACATGGTTGGAGGATCGGGGATTCTTCGTTTCATGGATCAAACATTGTTACTTATGTAGTAAACCAGAAACAATTGAACAAGCGTTTATAGATTGTTGGAGCCGGGTCTTCTTTCGGGACATATTGCAGGGAAGCTTGAAAAAAAGAAGTACCATTAAGTCCACGCAGCACTCATTTTCTTTTTTTTAAAACGAGGCCGGCGTACCTTATGATCTAATCAAGCTTCTGAACCTGCGCAGTATTTGGCAAACCCGATGTGCCTTTGAAAATGCGGATGTAGGAGTGTGATCTGTGCGAAAATATTTTTGCGAATCAATGTGCCATTTTCTAGAAACGCTAAAAGGCCAAGAGGATGTACCAGAGTGGATTGTGCGCATTGAACCATTGGAGGGCTCGTACAGGTCCTTGAAATCCTTGAAAAACCCTTGAGTTCGAAAAATACATTTTCAAGGCCCCTGAAAGTCCTGGAATTTTTCACCGTATTTAAAAATTCTTGAATTTCGGGAGCAGTGCATTCTTATATTGACATGACAACCTCCTAAATGTGGGAGATAGGTGTGTCAACCTGTGAAAATTCCTATTTTTTGGAGCAGATATGCGGCATGAGCACACGTGGTTGTATTTTGCAAGAATGCATGAGAAAGAAAAGTTTCCTGGTGATGGTGAAGCAGTGAATGTGATAGCCATAAATTAGAATGTCACGCGAAGGACAAGCAATCCCGTATATGCAATGTGCTGCTCACGCACGAAGGACGCACGAAAAAAAGTGCACAGGACGAATGCTGATGAACAACGGTCACAGCTCAACACTGGAAGCATGTTGCTTACACAAACCAAGAAAGATGCTAGAAAAGAACGCTTGTGTATCCACAGGATGAGTGTAAATTATCCACAGTCACAGTTGTTACGTCTTGGTTGTTGAGCTACGTGCTGCAAGTGTCAACTGTGCACAAGCCAACACTCCTAAAGGCCTACTCCAGCGATTTTTAGAGGTCAATGGACCCTAATCAAATTCACTGGGCACGTTCATTTGCACGTTTGCGTCATTCATGCCAAATTTCAAGCTTGTGAGTTTCGTCGATTCTTTTCAAATGAAATTTATATATTGCCTCCAAACGCTCAACTCGCTTGCCAGAATTAATGATAACATTGCTTGTGTGACAATGAGTTTTGCCTGGCCGAATTGACAGAACTGATGTGCCACTGGAGCGACTGCTTGTGTGTTATGGATTGTGTGGGTTAGGCCGGCACTTCCTTGGTTAAGCGTGCGATCCCTTTACCCTGTTGGTGGGCATGCGATAGGTGGCCAGTGGTGTTGCGTTGTGAGCCACACCTGATTCGCCATATACTCACCATAAACAGCATAGGCATTTTATCCGATTGCAGCTTACGGCATGGACAGGCTGTGCCATCTGGCGGGCATTATGCGCAATCAGGCAGGTTTGGGCAAATGATTACATCACACGTAGAAGGGCACTCGGTTGGGTTTCGTTATTACAGGTTTTGCTAACTAAAAATTATTTTCGAATTGGTTCAGCATTTGAACTATCGGGTGCATGACAAAAGCGTTTCAGGAACATACAAGTACCATTATCCTGACATTGTCGAAAAATTGCCGAGTTGGCCCTATGGGGTGGTACCATCAAATTTCAAGGACCATGTGGGTTTTTTCTATATAGGCAAGGACACCCTACATGAATTTCGGATTTTCGAATCGTTTACAATAAATTCTCACTCACTTCCCAAGTGTACGTAATGCTCATTCTGCTATTCGAGGCCCATTGCGAGCGCCTCCAACGTGGACATAGCTCTTTAGGAAGGCAACGAAAGTATTAGTGACGTCACATCAGACCTGTAGTCAGGTCGGTGACCCCCGGATTTCCACCACGTATATACCAGCTAAGCATCGCGGCTGCATCAGCTAGCGGCACGTTTGTTTTGCAGGTGCTTGTGTGGCACATGTGTGCGAGAGCTGACGAAACTCGGCATGATGCGTGCAAAGCTTCGTGATCATGTGACCAAGTTCGCTACACTGCTATGTACCTGCCCCACTCGGTGCCCACTAACAGGTACTGAAAATAGACCATATCAACAAGGCGACAAATTATATAGCGAGAATAAATGAATGTTGGTGCGCTTATTATATTTGTTGTACCCAGAATTAAAGCTTGGAGCAAAGAGTGCGCAAGCCACAAATATTGGGGCACCACCCCTTTAAGGCTTGACTACGCGTATGCATGGAAGCCTGTCAGTGTGTACCTTTCTGACTTGGCATCGTGCCCTCTCCCTATGGAGAGTGAGGGAGAGAGTGCCAGAAGTTACTGGGGCTACAATTTTTTAAATAATTACAATGCCCATATATTTATTGTAAGTGCAATAAAATTGGTCATTTTTTGAAAATTTTTTGAGTAAAAAATTTCAACAACATGCTGCTTTAAGTCCTTGAACTTGCAACAGGTCCTGGAAAGTCATTGAATATCTTTGAATTTTTGCTTTGGAAACCTGTACGAACCCTGCATTGTCACGAATGCCGAAGTATTGATTAATAGTCAGGTTAAAGATGACAGTTGTCCATTGAGTTTTTTGGATGCATTTCGTGACACTCATGTGTAATGTCGAACATGAGAA